CTCATTCCACCTTGCAGTTAAAGCAGTGAAAGTGCATGTATGAGGCCCTCAGCGGCCTTCCTGATTCGGCATAGTGTTTCCTTCTGGGCTACCTCACCAGGAGAAACCTTATAGCCAATCTAGGACCTCTCTGACCACCTCCCCAGTGGATGTAGCATTGGTAAAGTGGCAGGGCCTTGTTCTGTTTGACAGTAGGAGCTGATGTGTGTGAATGGACTCCTATCTCTGCTTCTTCCTCTGTGTGACAGACTGGAATGTTCTCACCCATCCTTGCTTAGACTGGTCTAGACCTTCTGGCGCTCTGCATTCCCAGTTCCAAATGCTAGGGATGGAGAATGTGCCTGGGCTTGCATAAGACAGGGCCATGACCCTGGCTCTCCTCAGCTGTAGTCAGCATTGATTGCTGCCCAGAACTCACACTGATGGGTGAAGACGGTGGTCTCAGAGAACTATAGCTTGGCAGGCCCCCTCATACAGCTCTTGGAGAGGTAGATGCTGGTCACCTATGCACCATTACCTTCGAGCAGGGCTTACTCCTCTGCCTTTCTCTCCCCAGGCCCTCAGCATCCTCATGCTCCCTCACAACATCCCATCCAGCCTGAGCCTGCTCACCAGCATGGTGGATGACATGTGGCATTACGCTGGGGACCAGTCCACTGACGTGAGTGCTTTCTGCAGGCCCACAGGAGGCTGGGAAAGGCTTGCGTTAAGAATTTCTTCAAGAAGCTTGTGAAATTTCTTTGATCACAAGCCCCTGCTGGGGGCAGTTGGCGGCAGGGCGGGGGCTGCAGTGTCAATCCCATCTAAGGTATGAGGAAGATCCCTCAAGAAGCCAAAGTGGGATCTAGGTCATCTTCATTCAGGGACCAACATTCTAGCCACAAACCAGTTATTATTTCTTCCAGCTTGTGGCAGTGACAACCAGATATCAGGGGGCCTTTAGCATTGGCAAAAGCTAATTGGGCTGCCTTTTTTATTATCATTTCCCTCTCTCCTAAGATGTAGATTCTGCAGCAAAATTCCTCTTTTGAAAAAAGAAATGCCATGGAGACACCCAGTGCTTTAAAAAGAAATTCCCTTCCCCAGCCCACCTTGGCCTGCTTTGCTAACAGATCAATAAGGCTCTTTAAACAGCACCAGGAAAGAATCTGACTTGTTAATGCTATCATATTTCTGGTAGGAAATTTTTAAAAATACACCTTCATAAAAGACATTAAAATGTGATGGTACTTTGTGGAATCATGGATGAGGAGGCACGGAGATACTTCCACCATTGTTATAACAAAGTGTTTTAATAAACTTCCCCCATGTGGGAATATACCACCAACAGAGATAGTAGGAAAATGAAATTAGAAAGCAAAGAAATTAAAGGAATAAAACACCAAGCAGCTGAGCTGGTCCTCTGACGAGAAGTTTGCCAGAACAATCAGAAGTTGCTGAGGGGCTTGAACTCTCAGCTTTGCCCAGGTATTGTAATCTGTCCATGAGCCTGTCTCAGCCCTCACTTTATTCATGAACACGCCAAGGTTTGGTCATAACTGGCTGATTATAGTGTCTTCTGGGACTCAGATGTCCTAAGATTTAGGCTTTCTACTAGCAATTCCAAAATGGATTGGATGTAGCCAAATCACCTAGGATGCTTATTAAGCATCCTGATTCCTGGCACTTAATTTAGATACATTGGCTCTGCTCTTAAGAGGTTGGGCCCAGGAGCTTACATTTTTAATCAACCAGATAATTCTGATGCCCAGTCAAGTTTGAGATGATAGTGTTGTCCAGAGGGCAGGATATATCTCTGAGGGAAAGAAGTAGTCAAGAGGGAACCCAGGAGTTCCCATGGCCTTGGGTAGGAACTACCTCAGACTTGTACCAAGCCACAGCAGTAGTGTGGTTTTCTTTGCAGTTTAATTGGTACACCCGCCGAGCCATGCTGGCTGGCATCTACAACACGACAGAGCTGGTGATGATGCAGGACTCCTCTCCAGACTTCGAGGATACTTGGCGCTTCCTGGAAAACCGGATTAATGATGCAATGAACATGGGCCATACTGCCAAGCAGGTAGCTGGGGACAAGCCACTGAACGCTCTTTAGAAGGCACACCTGTTCTCTTCAGGCCACAGCTGGTTCTCTTGCTCCCTTTTGGCCTCAGCTGATAGTCCTGAGGGCCTTCCCAGGGAGCCTGGCTGGTTCTTCCTCATGCCTGTCCTTCCCTAAGAGCCATTCTTTGCCCATTTGTGATTGCGTTGTCCAAAGCTCTCCTTCCAGTAACATGGCCCCCTTGTCTCCACCTTTTGGGGCTCATAGGCCTGTCCTGCCTGTCTCAACTTTAAGTTTGTGTTGTGGCCTAAGGGAACCTGACACTGACTCCTTCTAGGTGAAATCCACTGGAGAGGCACTGGTGCAAGGACTCATGGGTGCAGCGGTGACAGTGAGTACTGCCCAGCACATCCCTGTCCCTCTCTATCCCACTCTTGTGATACCTGTGTTACTGACCACACATCATTTTGTAGCTCTAAACTGGAAACCTAATAATAAGGCTGACAGTGGTTCAGTCCTAGTGTTTTGATTCCAAAAACCCCACTTCTTTATTTTTTCCTGGTATCAGGAGGCATCACAGACTCCTGGGACCCTGGTATATCAAGTCTCTGTATCATAGAGATCAGTGTGCCACCTTGCACACCTGGATCTTGGCCAGATGTGGTGGCTCACACATATCATCTCAGTGCTTTGGGAAGATGGCTTGAGACCAGGAGTTTGAGGCCAGACTGGGCAACATAGCAAAACCCTGTCTCCATGCAAAAAAAAAGAGAGAGAAAAGCTAGATCTTTTCTGTTAAAGTCTAGAGGCAGGGTAAGCCCTCACTGTTCTCTTTGTTTCTATTCCCGTGTCAGCTCAAGAACTTGACAGGTTTAAACCAGCGCCGGTGAGAGGAAGGGGTGTAAGCTACAGTACCTAGAAGAGAACGAGCAGACAGATGGAAAGAGCTCTGAAAAGTATGAGTGCCCTCCACGTAACCTGGTTTTCATGATAACACACTAAAGGACTCCTGAGTCATTGCCACAGCCACCTGGAAACCACAGGGCATTGGATGCTACCATTCTGGTCAGGGATTGGGCCACTTCTTCAGTTCCTATTACCAGGCCAAGCCTCTGGATGCCTTTCTGCACTGTAGCTGTGTGAAAAATGAGATGTTCGTCCAAGTGTTCAAGCCACAGAAACCCGGCATGTCCCTGTCACGATCTCATGGGCACCTTCATCATGTCTTAACCTTCCCTTAACCTTGGGGCTCCCAAGCCACAGTCAAGGTCAGAAGCCACTTCAAGGTGGCCACTCATCCCCAGCACGGTACCCTTGCAGCCCTCTCCCTCCCAGGGGTCCTGAGATGCTGCTCCTGGGAACCCCTCAGAAAACTGCCTCACCTGAGACAAGTGCCTGCTGGACAGAGGTGTGATCCCAGGCCTGGTGTCACATGACACTGGCATGCATTGCAGGATTATTAGTGAATTTCGAGTCTGTAAAAATAATAAATATGTTTGAATCAGTTTCCTGTTGTGTAGTTAGTTTCCTCATCAACCGTGATAGGTTTCCAAGACCCCAGAGGGAGACAGAGGTGTTTTGGGAGAGGCTTGAGGCTGGCAGCCAGGATACCTGTGTTCTGGCGCTGCCACTCCCTCATACATAGTGGTAATTGTACCTCTGCATCTCTGGGCTCAGGTCTTCCCATCAGTAAAACAGGGGTAACAGAAGCCTTCCCAGAGACCAATAGCTCCCTTGGCTGCTCTTGTCTGACTAACCATTTCAGTGGTGTATTCTTTAACCCCAGTAATTTTCTCAGCCTCTACACTGGCTAGGTTCCCTTTGCATGTCTGGTTAACTCTGTTTTCTGCTTTGCTCTCTTCTGCCTAAGTCAGCTGAATATTAATGGGGGAAGTCAGCAACTAATTGAATTTCAGATCTCTTGTGGGCCTTCCACTGGATCTTTTTTGCACCTCTCTTAATTCCTTGTATCTCTTGACACCCTGTGAAGTTTTCGCAGTAGCTGTTCCACTTTTTGTTGCATTCTCCTTTTTCCTTCATAGCATCCATCTCACGCTCAGCAGACAACCATAATTCTTAATTTACCAAGATGACACAGGATATGGAGCAAGGTTCCCTCAGTGCCCACCCTCTGTCTCAGGAAGAGGTGTCAAAGGAAAACTCCTCTTTATCTGGTTACTCTCCCACCTGTGAAATGTAGCTCCTGCCAGGTTCTATTTTAGAGCTTCTTTTCTCTATGGGAGCAGCTGCCACTTTTTTTAGGCTCAGTTAAACCTCTCTCCAGTCTGTTTAGGGGACTTCAGTAGTTCTTTGTTGAACATACACCCCGCATAGTGCCCACTGCCAGGCACTGAGGATACAGAGACAAAGAGCTCCTACTCACCACAATGACACAGACTGTAGAGAATGCATTAGGTTAAAGAACGTTGTATCTTTTCCTGCAGTTTTCAGCAAGTGCATGGTCCATACTTGAGAGTGTAAGGGAAAGGGCATCCAGGTATACTTTGTTAAAATATATATTCATATTAAAATATACTTTTTTTTCTACAGATGTAGAAAAGTTCTTTTTAAGGGCTTCATAGTATTCTGTGTGTGTATACTTCGCCAGGTCTCATCAATGGACAGAGTTTTGCTGCTTCTGCCATTACAAACTACTACCACGAACGTCCCTGCACTCGTATCTTTGTTCACAACTGCAAGTGTTTCTGCAGTATGAACTCTTAGAAGTGTTACTGTTGAGTCAAGGACATATGCATGTTTTGCCAAACTGCTCTCCGAGATAGCTGAACCTGGTACTTTTTAAAGCAGGAGGCGGTAGAAGTCGCTCGGCGGTCCCGGCCTCCGAGCAGCAGGCGGCGCTGCGAGCCGTCTTTGCGGAAGCCGCGGGGGCCGCGCTGACTGACTTCCGGTGTTGGCGGCGACGTCACCGTGGACCTGACGCGGAGGCTGGCGGCCGCCGGGAGCGATGCCGTACGCTAACCAGCCCACCGTGCGGATCACGGAGCTCACCGACGAGAATGTCAAGTTCATCATCGAGAACACCGACCTGGCGTAAGGCTGTCTAGGGAAGAGGCTGGCAGCTCTCGAGCGCCGGGGCCCTGGGGGTTGGGGGTGGGGATGTAGTGGGGTGAGGAGGATGTCCTTCCAGAGCTGCCCCCTGCGCCAGGGCTTTAGCTTTGGGAACCTGCGGCCCGGGCCCAGCCTGTCGAGGCTGGGCCACCTTCACGCCCCTTGGGTTTTCATCCTTCAGGGTGGCCAATTCTATTCGGAGGGTCTTCATCGCTGAGGTGCCCATAATAGGTAAGCGCCCCCCGCTTCCGCGTTCCCGGGGCCACGGGTTCCTCTGCCCTCTCCACCCACACTCTTTGGGGCTCCTTCCAGTTCTTGGTTCGGGCTGAGGGTGGGAGTGTTGAGAAAAGTGCATTGCTAGAAACTTGACCATACTCTGTGTCGTTGGCCCAGTGACCGCCTCCCTTAGGTCCACCCTTGTTCTTTGTGTGCATTGCTGAGAAGCCTGAATTTAGCAGTCTGCAGACTTGGTTTCAAATACTGTTTTCACTACTATTGTTAAAAAAAACTTTTATTTTGGATTCGGGGGTACATTGGTGCAGGTTTGTTGCCTGGGTATATTGCGTGATGCTGAGGTTTGGGTTGTGAATGATTCTTTCCCCCAGGTAGTGAGCATAGTACCCAACAAGTAGTTTTTCACCCGTAGCCCCACTGCCTCCCTCCCCGCTTTAGTAGTCACCAGTGTGTCTGTTGTCATCTTTATGTCCCTGTGTACCCAGTTTTAGCTCCCATGCAGTATTTGGTTTTCTGTTCCTGTGTTAATTCTCTTAGGATAATGGCTTCCAGGCCGGGCTCATGCCTGTAATCCCAACACTTTGGGAGGCTGAAGCTGAGGATCACCTGAGGCCAGGAGTTCGAAACCAGTCTGACCAATTTGGTGAAACCCCTTCTCTACTAAAAACATAAAAATTAGTCTGGCATGGTGGTGCATGCCTGCAATTCCAGCTACTGGGGAGGCTGAGGCAGAATTGATTGAACCCAGGGGGTGGAGGTTGCAGTGAGCCGAGATTGTGCCACTGTATTCCAACCTGGGCAGTGGAGCGAGACTCTGTCTCAGAAAAAAGAAAACAAAAGAAAAAAAGGAGGATAGTGGCTTTCAGCCATGTCCATGTTGCTGCAGAGGATGTGATTTCGTTCTTTCTATGGCTGCAGTGCTTAGTATTTTTGTGAAACTTGGGCAAGTTACTAAACTTCTGCATGCTGCAGTTTCCTCATCGTAACATTTGCACTCTAGTGCTGTGGAGTCAGCCCCAGCCATCCGCAGTTTAGTGTCAGGTGATTCCTAAATCTTGAGAGCAACTGCCTTAAGTCTGTAGGTAAATTTGATGGTTAAACTCCATGTCTCCTTCCTTCATTTTTTAGCCATTGACTGGGTTCAAATTGATGCCAATTCCTCAGTCCTTCATGATGAGTTCATCGCTCACAGGCTTGGTGAGTACTCCCCGTATTAGAAGGTTAAAGGGAGGGTACTGTGCCTAGTGTCAGGAGGGGGCCTCCTTCTAGCCTCACTCCTAGGGGGCTTCTGGGTTCTCATTTTGGCTTGACTGTTTGGTGGTCTTTAAAGTGCTTTTCTGTTTTTTACAGGATTAATTCCCCTCATTAGTGATGACATTGTGGACAAGCTGCAGTACTCTCGGGTATGCTGTGTGGTTCGGTGGAATGTGAGGTTCGGTGGGGAGGGTTCAGTTCTCAGAGGGATTTTTCCTGACATTTGGCATCCAACTTGCGTTGTATTGTAGTTCCGGAACAACCATGTGGAGATGTTGTCTAGAGCCTGGGCAGGCCTTGGTCCTTGGTTCTGATGGGGCTTCAGATTGGTTAGTGCACAGAACATCAGAGATTGTTGTTAGTCAGCTCCACTGGAATGCCAGTTTATACTCAGAGTGGCAGCTGTTCCTTCTGAAGCGTCTCTTCCCAGTGTCAGGGGCCTGAGGATGCTAAAGAAGTGAACAAAAGGTTGGGGTGGGCAAGGATCAGAGGGAATGGGAGCTGTCTCACAAGAGCAGCTCCTGAGGGACTTAGTGCTCGTGTCTGTCAGGCTCATGCCTTTCCCTTGCAGGTGATGCTACTTAAACATGGCCATACTCTTAGGGTTTCTCGCTCTTCCTCCTGGTTGTGTTTGCTCCCTGATGGCACATTAACAGACCTTCAAGTCGGGAGAGAGTGGGATAGGAGTAGATTACCTTCATCCTTTTCACTAGGCTGCATTACATAGCAGCTTGTGACTATTTCCTCTTGACGGTTTGGGTGATGCTGAATCAGCCCATTTTCTAATACTCTCAAGGGCCACGTCATCTTTGTGATGGCTAATTTGTTATATCTTATAAGTATGTATGTATTTTTAAAAAAGAAATGTTCAAGCACAGAAAAGCATGGAGCTATCGTAATAAATACCCATGCTGCCACCTAACACTGTGTTGTCACATTTCAACATTTTGCCCTATTTGTTTCACATCTCCAGATTTTTGATTTTAGTAAATAAAACATAGATACTGGTGGGGACAGTGGTACGACCAATTAAGAGCAGTTTACCAGTATCTTATATAAGGATATGCATGAGGCCAGGCACATTGGCTCACACCTGTAATCCCAGTATTTTGGGAGGCCAAGGCGGGCAGATCACTTGAGGTCAGAAGTTTGAGACCAACGTGGAACATGGTGAAACCCCATCTCTATTAAAAATGCAGAAATTAGCCAGGTATGGTGGCAGGCACCTATAATCCCAGCTCCTTGGAGGCTGAGGCAGAAGAATGGCTTGAACCCAGGAGGAAGAAGTGCAGTGAGCCAAGATCGCACCATTGCACTCCAGCCTGAGGGTCAAGAGCGAGACTTGTCATAATATATATATGTGCATGCTCTATCACCTAGCAGTTCCTTTCATTAAATTTTTTTCTAGTATTTATTGAACAAAGATGGCTTGGTATCTCTCTCTCTCTCTCTTTTTCTTTCTTTCTTTCCCTCTCTTTCTCTTTCCCCCTCTCCCTCCCTCTCTCTCTCTCTCTCTCTCTCTCTCTCTCTCTCTATATATATATATATATATATATATATATATCTTTATCTCTCTCTGGCTTTTTCTGAAAATCTGTAGAAACGTTTTAAAACTAGAATAATAAGTACCCTTTTACTTTTCACCTATAGTTACCAGTTATTAATATTTTACATTTGCTTTATTTTTCATATGGTTGTTATTTTTGCTGAACTGTGTGAAAGTTGCAGAGACATCCTAACACTTCAGCATGCATTTCCTAATAAGAATAGTTTCCTACGTAACCACACTTTTATTATGCCTAAGAAAGTAAGCGTCAATTTGTAATATCAATATTCATATTTTCATAGTTCCCCAAATATTCTTTATTGTTTTCCTGTTTGTTTGTGGATCAGTCTTGATCAAGATTCATTTGGTCCTTATAGCTCTTTAGTCTCTTCATCTCAAACAGACTCTTCTCCTTTCAGTGCATTTTTTTAGGTTGAGTACCTTTTCATATTTTTAATCTTCCATTACATTTTGATTCTCTCATTTCATGTTTCTTTATTTTTCTATTTTTTGAGATAAGTCTCACTCTGTCACCCAGGCTGGAGTGCAGTGGCATGATCTCGGCTCACTGCAGCCTCATCTTCTGGGCTCAAGTGATTCTCCTGCCTCAGCCTCCCGAGTAGCTGGGACTACAGGTGCTGTGCACCACCATGCCTGGCTAATTTTCTTGTACTTTTTTGTAGAGACAGGGTCTCGCCATATTTCTCAGGCTGGTCTCGAATTCTTGGTCTCAAGTGATTCTCCCACCTCAGCCTTCCGAAGTGCTGGGATTACAAGTGTGAGCCACTGTGCCCAGCTCCATTTCATATTTCTAAGAGTAATTCTGCCTCTGGGGTCTGGGTTGCCTTCCTTCCTTATCTGTGTGTGACTGCAGACATCTCAGGTGGGACCTCTAGTTGCTTCTTCTTCCTTATCAGGCAAACATCAAAAGAATGTTGGGTTTTCCTCACTAGTGTGAGGGAGAAAACAGCTTGCTTGATTGCATCCTAGTAACTCTCTTCTTGCCTGAAGTTAAACTGCAGTTGGTAGTCCCTAACATGGGTATGAGCCAGTTGTTTTAAGAATGGCAAACTTACTAATTATGGAAGGTGGTTGATGGTTATGGGATGGCAGTGTCTTACATGCTTCTCTATTTTTGTATATGTATGAAGTTTTCCATAATAGAAAGGATTTTTTTAGAAAAGGTGAGTACTCTAGAACTTGAAAGGTACTTTTTTCTGTTCCTTGTTGGTTTTATTTTAAATGGTGGTTACATTCCCAAGCTGGTCCACTTAGTTCTTGGGAAGCTGAACTATAGAGTGTGGAAGCATCCTCCTCTCCCTCATAGCCTTGCTTCTCTGAGAAAGACTACTTCAAGGGCCAGAGTGAGATGTTAGCAGTGTGTCTGCAGAGGTGGCCTGGCAGCTGGTTCCAGTAGGAAGGAAATGTGGTGCTAGTGTATGTATAAGTTGTCTCTAAACTTGGGCAGTCCGTGAGAATGGTATACCAGATTGTTATAGCCCACAAGAACCTGGAGACTGATCAATCCCTTTTTACAGGTGAAGAAACTTAAAGAACTGGGTATTAGATGCAGGGAGCCAAGGCAGGAGTCGCCATCTCCCCCATAGACTCATTTCTGCTTCTCTTCCTGCCTCAGGACTGCACATGTGAGGAGTTCTGCCCTGAGTGCTCAGTGGAGTTCACCCTCGACGTGCGGTGCAATGAAGACCAGACTCGACATGTCACATCTCGAGACCTCATCTCCAACAGCCCCCGGGTTATTCCGGTCAGTGCAGGACAGCATCCTCTTTTCCCTTGGATCTTTTTTTGTTTGTTTGTTTGTTTGTTTGAGACGGAGTTTCACTCTAGTTGCCAATGGTGTGATCTTGGCTAACCGCAACCTCCACCTCCCGGGTTCAAGCACTTCTCCTGCCTTAGCCTCCCAAATAGCTGGGATTACAGGCATGTGCCACTAGCCCAGCTAATTTTGTATTTTTAGTAGAGATGGGGTTTCTCCATGTTGGTCAGGCTGGTCTCGAACTCCTGACCTCAGGGGATCCACCTGTTCAACCTCCCAAAGTGCTAGGATTATAGGCATGAGCCACTGTGCCTGGCTTCCCTGGGATCTTTTCTCTTTCTGGCTCCAAGTGGGCCAGACTGGGATTGATCCTTATAAAATGTTGACTTTCCCTGTTACCCTCTGCCTTAATCTGATCCCTAGAAGTTCTAATTCTGGATTCTTCTTGGGCATCGTTGCATCATTAGCATTGCTGGTGCTGTGCACCCTCTATTGCCCAGAGACTCTTTTGAAGGCCATGGAATTGTTTTGCCTGAGGCTATCACCACAACATGAAGTAGGGGTTGGAGTCCTCGGGGACATCTGTGCCACCGCCTTGTTAGGTGCCCCTTCCCTCATTGACAGATTACAGTCTAGAGGTTTTGGGAGTTGGATGCCAGAGGAAGTGACTGGGGAGGTGAGCAGCTAATGAATGCCTGTTGGCCTCCCTACAGGTGACATCCCGGAACCGAGATAATGACCCCAATGACTACGTGGAGCAGGATGGTAAGCCATGGAGTGAAAGTGCAGACATCTTCTTGACCTGTCACTGTGTGGGCCAGTGGGATGCAGACACCAGGCACAGCCTCGTACTGTCTAGTCTCATCGTAAATTGGCTTTAGACCCAATTTTCCAGATGTGTGTCGTCTTGCAGTAGCACTCCCAAGTCAGAATTTGGAAAACCGTCTCTCTCCAGGGCCTTGACTGACTTGTACCTCCCCCTGCAGACATTCTCATCGTCAAGCTGAGAAAGGGCCAGGAGCTGAGACTTCGGGCCTATGCCAAAAAGGGCTTTGGCAAGGAGCATGCCAAATGGAACCCTACCGCAGGGGTGGCTTTTGAATATGATCCAGACAATGCCCTGAGGCACACAGTGTACCCCAAGCCTGAGGAATGGTATGTTCCCTTTAGGAGTGGTGGCAGGCATTTGGGGGGTGGGCATGGCATGGAAATGGCTGCTGGTGACTGAGATGTGGCAGGCTCTCTAGGAAATTGAGTGCCCCAAAAGCAGCAGTGGCAACCTTGTGCTGACCTGTGTTTGACCTCAGGCCAAAGAGTGAGTACTCGGAGCTGGATGAGGATGAGTCGCAGGCTCCCTATGACCCCAATGGCAAGCCAGAGAGGTAAGACCCTGGTTGGACATGAGAAGGTGAAGGGGCTCAGAAGGGATGGTTTTGGTGCAAGCTCTGGGCTCGGCAGTCCTTCTTCCCCACCTTGAAGTTCTTGTAAGCTGAGGAGGGGCTGCTGACTGCTGAACTTGGCTATTTGCTATGTGTATGCCCTGGGGGCATGTCGCCAGCCCCCACTTTGGTCACTGTGACAAAGAGGACCCTCCAGTTACCGGTTTTTCCTATTCTGATTTTCAGCCCCCAAAGAAAAGATTCTTCAGATCAAATCTAGGGGCAGAGATTTTGACCCAAGTTCCACAGGGGCAACTGAAGGGGCTGTGACACTGGTCACTGCTCACATGGTTTTCTACTCTCTCCTCAGTGAGGTGTGTGTTCATACAGAATCTGAGGATTTTCACAGGTACTCTTATGAGGTAGTTGTAGCCTCCTTGAGGTCATGCAGTGTGTTGAAACTACTCTATGCAAGAGGTTTTAGATGAAGGGAAGTCAGCCCCGGCCCAAGGTCAAGTTCCATGTGGGAACAGAGCCAAGACCCTGAACGAGGAAGGGTTCTCCATGGCCAGAGCTCAGGTTGGCCAGCCTGCCTTGCAGGGTGCTCACTGGACTCTTACCTCCTAGGTTTTACTACAATGTGGAGTCCTGTGGCTCTCTGCGTCCTGAAACCATTGTTCTGTCAGCCCTCTCTGGATTGAAGAAGAAACTGAGTGATTTACAAACTCAATTAAGCCACGAGATCCAGAGTGACGTGCTAACCATAAATTAGCTGCAGCTTGCCTGCTTCAGCAAAAACGGAGATTCAGGCCAGCAGCTGGATTTGAGGGTCTCTCTTGAGGCTCTTCTAGTTTCTGGGAATTTAGTCTACTGCTTCTTGAGCTTCTTGGCAGGTCATCAGTACCAACTAGAAGCGGGTCATAGATAGATTACCAGGGATGCGGTGGTGTTTGGGCAGGACAGGTTTTTATTGGTCCTGACTGCTTTTAGTAATTGCCAGCAGGGCTCCCCAGATCCCAGAACGTCCCTTCCAGTCTGTTTGCAGCGCACCTGTAGGGAACCCACTGAACTTCTCTCCTGGTTAGTCTGGGTCTTTACGCTAAATCCTTCCTGTCCAAAAGGAGTAATTTTCAGTTGTACCTTAGATTTCTGGTGTTAGGATCCAGTGCCACAGTCTTGATTCAAGGAGCTTATAAACCCTTCTAGTCCTTGCTCCAGGGCCGGCCTGCTGGCACTTTATATTCCCAGGTGTCCCTCATTTGAGAAATAATCTTTTGGGAATAGCATTACACCCTGGCTGTCCCCTCCCCACCAAATAAACACAGTATTTCATTCTCTACCAGCAGTTATGAACCCCTTCGCCACCAGTGGCCTAATCACTGAGTTTGGTGGTGGTGGTGGGGGTGGAAGCAGCCGCAGGAGCAAGAGCCCCTCCCACATACACAGGAGAAGTATTTCATTTCTCCTTAATGAAGGCTCTGGCCCTAACCCCTTAGCACTGTTTCCGGGTAGGAACACACAAAGAAGTTAATTAGGCAGCCTGGAGAAAAGCAGAGATCCAGTACAGAAAGGAAAGGATATTTATTGATTAACAGAAGTTGTCTTTTTAAAAGTGTTTATTTTTGGCAATAAAGAGCACAACATAATCTCCTTCATGCGTCATCGTGCCACTTAGCTGAGCCAGCCAGCTCTGCCTCCCCCGCCAAAGACCTTTGGACCCCCGTTCCCCCCTTCAGGCTAGCTCATCCCTCTGGGTGGTCATTCCCTGGTCACGTTGAGAGCTGAGCTGACTGTGCCACCTCTCTGGCTCAAGGGCTCCTTTGGGAGGGGCCGCATGCTTTATCATCCTCCTGCCACAACTCAAATAGTGGTTATTTACAAGAAGGTCTGTTCCCACAAATCAGGACCCTAAAGTTTTAAAAAACAAAACAAAACGCAAAAAACAACAAAAACCCCACACAACCAAAGGTTTGATGTGAATAGAAAGATAGATAGCCCTTCTGCGTGGTAGTCAACAAACACCAGCACTAGAAAATCAATTGCTTTAATTGCATTTCAGCAGGGAGCCTCAGCACCATGTGGGGAGGAGGAAATGGGAAGGTCTTGGTTTCAGAGTGCTTTTGGCTGGCCAGAGTGGCCAGACAGGGCCAAGGGGCTCCTTTTGCTTGGGCATTGTCCACCCCTGGTCAGTGAGGGGGGCAGCAGGAGTGCTCCCCACGGCAGTCCTGCTGCGGCCTTCCCTCCTGGCCTGGCCCTGGGGAAGGAACAAGTTCCAGCCTTCCTCCACATGGCTGAGGTAATCAGCCCCCTACCTTGAGGGCATCTTCCCAGCCTACAAAGCAGGAAGGAGCCTGTGCAGAAGTTACATTTTAAAACCAGATTTTCACCTGAGGTATCAACCAGATGTCGCCTCTGCTTCAAACTCCAGTTGCAAGGCTGGCAAGCAGCACAGTGGAAGCGCAGATCCTTCCTGTGCCACTCCAGGCTCAGAGGAACTGAGAAGCCACCTGCTGTTCTAGCCCTTGGGCTGTTTGGGAAAAGCCAGCAGCCAGAGTGCCAGCCACAAGCCCTAATTGTCCCCCTCTTCTGGCCCTGGCAGTTCAAGCAGGTCCTGGCAGCAAGGCTGTGCCATGGAGGATGGACACAATTGCCCTCATTCTCAAAAGCAGCCTTGACCACGGCCTGGTCATGGAATTCATAAATGCGTGTGTATTGGTGGGGAAGGACAGGATGAGGTGGGGGATGTCGTTAATACAGAGTATGTCGTAAGCCATATATATTAAAATCATTAACAGTATATAGTCCCACGGTAGCTCCAGCCCCTCACACATGCTCAGGTGGTGTGGCCAGCCCTTTGCCTCAGTCCAGCCTCACCCTTGGGGGTGAGGAGGGGGCACTTTGCTCCCTTTCTCCAGGCTCTTGGCCGACAGCCCCTTGAGGCCATCCACAGTACACTGCAGCCAGCCCCGCAGCAGGCAGCCCCCAGCAGTCATGGGTGCTCGTCAGCACTGTGGTCACTGGGATGGGGTCTTGGCCTCGCTGCTGTCCCCCTGGCTGGGCTTTGGCTTTAGCAGGATAAATCTGTTGAGGAGGTCCGTTTCTGAGCTGGCCTGGGCTGCCCCATACCCCTCACCTGTGGGCACAGAAGCAGGCTCAGAACTCAGAGCTAGGTCAAAAGACCCCTGCCCAATAGGCCTCAGCCTCCACGGAGCCTCCTGGCAGGCAGGTGTGGGGCATGGAAGCGACTCACCAGCATAGCTGGAGGCTTCGGCGATGTTCTGGGAACCTGTGATGTGGTGCCAGTAGGCACTGCGAGGCAGCATAGTCGTGGGAGTGCAGGGATACGAGTAATGTTCTGTGCCCTTGTTCAGCAGCTGTGGGGCAGAGGAGGGGGCGCTCCCATTAGTGGCTCAGTATCCCTGAGCAGCCCACCCAAGACCCTACCTGCCTCCACTGTGCACCCCAGGCACTCAGCCCTGCCTGTCCACCTGCCACCCATACCCTGGACTGCTGCCTGCTGCCTCACCCTCACATTCTTCTCCATTTCCAGCAGGACCCGCTTGTGCTGCTCTGCGATGGCCAGGGTGGCACTGTGGACCCGCTGGTAAATCTGCTCCCCCTCTTGTGTCTGAAAGGTGTAGAGTCCTTCCCCAGCATCACACATCCTGGGGACACAGATGGCACAGAGGGCAAGATTGTGGGGACCTCCCACAGACATGCATGTTCTCGGGCAGCGCTGTGGTCTGGGGTTCTGACCACATGGTACAAATATGCTGAGCATTTTCTCTACCAGCTGGTGCTCAGAATGCTTTAGAAGAATTAACCCATTCAGTTTTCTCTACCATCTCCCTCTGGCCTTTGTACCATTAATAGTTTCCTCATTGTTATGCATTTTCCCAAACCATTTTATAGATGAGGAAACAGACATACAATGCTAAGTAACTCAACCGGGGTTCTACAGAGAGTTACACAGAATTTCAGTCTAGGCAGGCTGACTCCAGAGTTCAAGTGGGGGGATACCCAGTCTTCGCTGTAATTCTAGGAGGCTAGGTGCTTTATTACCCCGAGACCCAGATGCAGGTCCACAGTCACAGAACTAGTGCCTAGACCCACATCTGACTTAAGCCAAAGTATGACTTTTGGTAACAGCTTCACTCGATCTGCATGCTGTGGGCAAGTGACTCCTCTGAGCCTCCATTTCTTCTATAAAATGGGAACATTATATTCCCCCTTGGAATTGCTATGTCAATAAATAAACCAAGCTCCTAGCACAGTGAGTGCCCAACACAGTGAATTGCAGCCACCCTCACACCATGGTAGAACAGGGCTGGGAGGCGAGAGGGTCCTACCGGCCGGCCTCGAAGGTAAAGCGTGTGGCATCCCGGCCATAGCGGCGAAGTGAGCAGAGGGGCCACGAGACGAGCTTCACACGGGGGTTGTGGATGTCCCAGAGGTAGATGTTCTCGTGGGTGATCTGCAGCTTGCACTCACCATACACGTCCAGGTTGGGGCAGGGCAGCAGGAAGACATTGAAGCGATCTGGAGTCAGGGAGGGAGGACAAGTGGGCCCAGAGATGTCCCAGATTGGGGCTTCCTCCCTCCTTTCTTCTCTTCTTCCTCCTCCCCCTCCCCACCCTTAGGGCCAGGGCCCAGCCTCACCTGTCTGCTCACACTGCACGCCTGGGGCCAGGAGATCAGGCTCTCCTAGACTGATGTCATTGAGCCGGGACCCCAGACACTCCACAGATAGTGTCTTGTACCACTCCTCCGCCTCCAGCTCTGAAGAAAATGCTACTTCATCATGCGGCTCTTGGTGCCCATCTGCCCAGCCTGACTTATGCCACCATGCACAGTAGGGAGGGCAAGGACAATGGGTCTATCCCGCCTCACCCCTGGGGGCCTGCTCCCTCAAAGCATCCCCCAACCCCACACACACACCACCACCATCTCCACCCAGGGTTAGCCCTGCTCTGCCTGCTCCTGGCTAGACCTCTGACCACAGCCACCCCAGGGGAGGCAGATGGAGGCCTGCACTCAGCGCCTCACCTGAGTCACAGGTGAAGGTGCGTGCCGAGTCGTCAGTGAATATGATGGCCACTGCCTGCCTTTTGGTCTCCTTGGGGAGCCGCGTGACGCACTTGACGTTGCTGATCTCTGTCACCTGGGACAGCATCCACAAGGGACTTAGCCAGGCGGGCGCCTCTCTCTGCATCCCCCACAGCTCTGCCACCCCCAGGAGGGTGTGCAGACCTCAGGCCTCAGCAGACCGCCTTTGCTTACAGGTTGGGGGAGCTAGGGCCCAGGCCTCCTAACCTTGGGGCAGCCCCGGAGGCACACCGACTTCTCATCCGGATACTTTTCCAGCCGCTGGGGCCCCTTGCTGGAGGATTTCCGGAACACCAGCCAGCACCTCCGGTAGATCTGTGGGGCAAGATGACATGAGCCGACCTCCCTGGACCACTCCCACCCTGCCAGCACGGCCCTGCAGCCACCCCTGCCTGCCACAGGGGGCAGTGCTGCGCAGGGTTCCCTGAAGCCCCAGCCTGAGTGTGTGCACCGCTGAGTTTAGTGAGAGTTGCCAACGTTCATTGAGTGCTTCCTGCTCACACACTGTTACTAACACTCTGCACAGTCTCAGGGCCACTCCTGTTATCATCCCCATTTTATAGATGGGAAAGTGAGGCATCAAAACGCTAAGGAATGGTGATGCTGGTATTTGCAGCAGGCTGTCTAGATCCAGAGCCGACCCTCACAGCCCACTGTAGGATCTGGCCAGGGCTCAGGCAGTGCCAGCCACCACAGAGGGGCCTCCTGGGAACAGGGATTGGATCCTCGCCCCCTGCCAACCTGCACATCCCTGAGCCCCTAGTTCTCTGAGTCAGGTGAGAGCTCTTTACATAGGTAACACTCACTCTTGTCTCTGGGAGCTTCCACTCTTCATTCACTTACCAACCCTGGAGTGTAAGGGGCCCTGTTCCATCTGGGAACCCAAGGCTGTTCGAGGTTAAGGGGCGGAGCTGGGAATCTGGGGCTCCTCCCACAGCATGGTGCCTTCCCTCCTTGTCCGGGCCACTGCCAAGACCCCTGTATCTTAAACCACCTATGTTCTCTGTAGCTTCACGGATTCCTCCCGTGGGGTGAGGAGTAGTGGGGAGGGGAGGGGAGTGGCCACCCTAGGACTGAAGGGACAGACGGGCCTATCATTCACGGTGCAGAGGGTTTGGCCCTAGCCAGCCACCTCAGCTGCCCTTGCACAGCCCCTCCCTCCCGCCTAGGCTCTTTTCTGCCCAAAGTCTGTGGTTGGGGTTTACCTACTCCTTCCAGCGGGCATTCCAGAAGCCTGGCAGAGCCCATTCTCCGGGCATCTCTGGTGTTCCTCTTACTGGAAACAGCAGGGAGACAGTGGCAGCCGAAAGCACGGCAGAGGAGGCCAGGAGACCTCTGGGCCCCATCCCCTCCTCAGCCCTACTGTGTCATGGGTGCACTAGGTCCTTGGCAGGCAAGGTCCCAGGGTGCAGTAGTCCTAGGCAGCCCCCATTTCAAGATGCCCCTCAGAGCCAGGCCATTCCTGGCTCCTCGCTGGTACCCTAGGAGGCATATCTACTCCTGCACCCCTGACCTGGCTTGGCCCCTGTTCTATCCACCTAAAC